TAATTTAAATAAAGGTTTGAGGCATTAAGAGGTCAAATAATCCAATATTTCTAAAATAAAGCAAATATTAGAGAAAAGGGCAAAAAACAAATACGACTGTGTGTGGAAGAACAGCTTTTTCTTCTTTCCCATACCACATTAATCATCTAATGACCCCCCAGACTTATTTTGTGACCCTTTGGGGGGATCTGAACTCCAGGTTTGGAACTACCTAATCAAACTACTGAACGGTATATAAGGTAGTTCAAATTATCCACCTCAACCAGATACAACACGAAAGCATCACTCACAAGGGCAATTTGTCTGCACTTTTCTGACTACTTTTACTTTTGAATGAGTACTTTAAGTACATTTTGCTGATAATACTTCTCTACTTTCACTTAAGCAGGATTTTCAATGAAGAGCTTTTACCTGTAATAGTGTATTTATGTTGTACTGATGTTGTACTAGTGCCACTTGTGTGTCCAAGTGTCCAGTCCCCACAAACTAAGCATGACTTGTTTGCAGAATATTTCATCTGCTTGGCATATGTTTTTATATAATGTTGTAGCCTCACAATCAGAATGCCATTTAGTTTTCACTTCATCAGCGCTGACAAAATTGGGCAGCAATTCCTTCTAGTAATTTTGTCCTTCTAAAACCGAAGCTCTCTCAAAACCTTTTATACTTTTTTCTTGAAAATAACACATACAGCATGAAAGGAAAATCGCAATGAAGCCCTGGTTGCTTTAAAGGGTAAAATTACAATATTGAGTTCTTTTTAAATCTTTGCTTTTTTCTTGTGAATCACTATATTTATTTTGACGGAGATCCAGATCTAGATGCAACATTTTCTATCATTCAAATAGCAAATTTAGACGATTGTGCAGCCTTCATGGAGGTATCTGCTCTCTGAGTGCTTTCTAAATTACTTTTATTTTTCTTTCTCAGGTCTGCAGGTTGCTTAAAGCTCCTTAATGGCAGAATTCCAAATGGCAGAGAGGTAACTGAAAAATCCACTTTAACACATCATGTGTCTTGGCATTAGTATACCACTTGCAGCACAGTGATGTTTACCAACCAGGCTGCTCCCTGATCTCATTATACAAAAGGGTACCATAGGGCAAGAGAGGCCTATACTGGGGAGACCAGCTCTCTGAGGTCAGGAGTTGTTATTGCTTTTACTTGCTAGACTTTTACTATTTCTCTCATGTTTTATTAGTTATACAGTTATTTTACTGTAATGTACTAAAGAGTATAAACCATCCATCCATCCAGCAGCAGGCTACTCAGACATGTTTCTCCCCAGCCACCTCCTACACCTCCTCCTGGGGGATCCCAAGGGATTCCCAGTCCAGATGTGATATGTAATCCTTCATGTTCTGGGTCTGCCCCGGGGTCTATAGGGAGCTGTCCGGGAGGAATCTGGATCAGATACTCAAACCACCTCAACTGGTTTCTTTTATTAATACAATGGAGCTGCAGTTCTCCAAGCTCCATCCAGATTTCTGAGCTCAGATATCCATTATTAAGCATTTGGGTATGCCTGTGTGTTTGTGTCACACCCACTTGAGAAGCTGAATGAGGAGGCGGGCGTAACTCTGCATCATGTGAGGCTCCAGGTTCGGCAATGTGACCAACTCATAGAGCAGCTTGATGAAGAGAATATGGTCCTCTTTGCTGAACCTGCGGCCATACAGCTTCAGAAACCTGCGAGAGGGTGGGGCAGAGAGAAGTGACCATTAGCGTGAGCCACTAATCACTTCCTGCTCCCTAACCATATCCTCACACACAATAAATACACAGCTTCAGTGGCCCACTTTCTCAACATGAAACCTTGACTAACCTCACTGAATCTGAGTTGATGCTAATTAGACAGAGTGAATTATAAGCACAGTCTTTATTTAAATAGCAGAACATGACGCCCTGATGCTCTGTGGAGGTACACAGAGTAATTTGGGGAAGGTCAGTAACACCAGGTGCTTGCCTCTTTAAATACTCCTATGGCACTGATCTTTTGTTTTTTTTTGCAAGAGACTCTTGAATATATAATATTTAACATCTGGGTTTTAAAGTTAACTTTTATTATAGTAGGTCTAGCCACCTGTAAGGAAATACTATACAATATAACACCTCTGTAACAAATATTATTGTACTTTTATGAAGCTTTTGTTTTGTTGTTACTGTGCCAGAAAGATATTCATGCAACTTCAAGAGACTTTGTGAGACTGTAGGTTGTGATTTTGTTGAAACTTACTGATTGCATTGTGGTATAAAATGCACACCTTCAATCCAATCCAACAGCCACAAAAATGACCTTACAGCCAAAATGAAGTGTAATATAGATCGTTATTATGAATCCTACGTGACTAATAATGGGGTCAGCTTATAGCTTGAGGACAACCTTGCTCCAACACTTACGAAAATAGTTTCCTGGACCAGAACGCGACCCCGGGCCACAGCTCTCTGAGGAGGACCGCTCTGGACAGGTTCGCTTTGATCTCCGCCAACAGCTCCGTGGCCTCCCGGTCCAACCGGTGGGAGTAAGGCAGAAGGCCGTTATACACGATCTCCTTCTGAGGGATAAACACAGCCATGTCCCCGTCCACAGTCATATCCCACTGACAGTTGGGTTACTTTCCTGTTTCAGGCTGTGCGCGCGTAAAAAGGTAAAGAAAAACGTCCCCCTTTGTCTAATTAATGTTGTGCCTTCTGAGAAGTGCGCTGCCGAAGTTAGTGGGCATAATCTGCTGTGTCCAGGAACCCAGCGGAAGGCAGACGATCACAGGAGAAAGTATGTCACGCTAATTGAGCTGTGCAAAGCCCTGAGCGGGCAGGTTCCACTCCGACCTACAATGTCAGGCGCTGCGTCACCTCTTCACATCCAACGGCGGCCTGCGCATGTTTGGGGTGTGTGTAGAACAAAATGCAGGTTGCTGGAGAGGGTGCATTACACTGTGGCCAGGCTTTCATTTCAGCACCACTGAGCCTAATAACACAAGGCTTAGATCTGTGAAGGCTTTCATGTGGGTACTGGGTAGTGGACTATATAGGAGTAAACCAGGAAGGCACTATTCAAGACTACAAATCCCAGAGGCGCCAGATCCGTGCGTGCTGCGAAGTAATCTGCAGAATAATGGGATGATCTGATAACTGGATTAATGCTCCTCTCCTGTTCTACTGACCCACAGTGGCTGGTCACTGTTTTTAACTTCATCATGCAGCTAAGGAAACAAATCCATGCCTGTATGATTTGGCTGCTTGCCATAGAAGTATTTATTAATGTGAATGCTGAAATGTGTCTATAAATAAATCAATGACAGTCCATTAGACCCGCTTATGTTATCCATGTCTACCCTTGACTGCTTATGACACCTTTGTCCCCACCCTCCATTATTGTGGCGCTATACACCTTCCCATGTCAAACCTTTTACTTTAAGCCTGTGTAATTCTCTGACCACTATATGCTTAGAGTGGTGCCGGATATTGTCTGGGCTGCCTAGCAGCAAGGTTGCTGCTCACAGCGAGGGCTTAGAGCATAATGCAAAGACCTTTTGAGTTCTCTGCTCTGGTCTGAGAAATGGGGCAATTGCTGCAGCTCCACCTCAGCCTTTCTTTAGCTGTCTGATTGCATGAAGTGCCCTGTTTCTCAACCCTGCCTCAATCTCACTAGTGGATTCCTACCGTTGCTTCTGCAGGTCTGTCTACAGCCCACGATAGCCCTGCAACTTTCAGTCAGTTTCACCTTTCTGAGACAGTGAGCAGAGTGCCCTCTTTAAAACGATTTTCTCTCTTTAAACAGGGAAAGACAGACAGAGTCACAGTCGAGAGAGATCCCAGAACAGAATGTGCCTTCCACTCAGCATATCAGTCCAAGAGTTTCCGGCTGGACTTTGCCAAGCCATATCACCCAAGTCTTTACCTTTTGTATCCCCTCAGATCTTATTACTTCTGGGCTTTTTCTACCTCTCAGAGCACTGACAACACCTGCTTTCACTGTCTCCGCCGTTGAACCAATTCCAGGAAGAAACATGATGTCTGTCCCTATTTGTTCTTCGTTGGGATGTTTCTAGGTATGTGAAAACAGAGAATTTGTTGGAATTATGTGTTTTTTGTTTGAGTGTGTTTGTATGGGCACAGGCGCTTGCATGTGTGCACACATCTGTGAGATTCATTATTCCACAAGTGGAGTCTACAGATGGAAAATATGATTCAGGACGATGATGCCTCTTTGACTCAGCAGGGAGAAGACCAAACACAGAGAGAGAAAGAGATAGAGAGGGGAAGAGAGAGAGGGAGGGAGGAAAGTGATGGAGGAAAAAGGGAGAGAGAGAGAGTCAAAGGAAAGAAAGATGATGGTCCCAATGGAAGATGTTTTTGTATTCCATCAGCTTGCTCATCTTTACCTCTTCTGCAGGCATCAAGAAAAATCAGCCCTAAGAACAAGCGCACATAAATCCACACACACATGCAAAGCACACACGCGCGAGCAAAGCACACACACACACACACACACACACACACACACACACACACACACACACACACACACACACACACACACATAAAGCTTCTCATTTTCACCAGGGATTTATGGCAATGCCAGTTTTCTCACTCCTAAAATATTGGAAAACTCGGGCAGCCAGTAAGTGTGTGTGTGTGTGTGTGTGTGTGTGTGTGTGTGTGTACGTGTGTGTGTCTCAGTTTGGAGAGTAAAGAGTGTAAATGATGTGTCTGGGAAACCTGCATCGAGACGTCAACACACACACACACACACACACACACACACACACACACACACACAGTTCCTTCCATCCAGCTGGGTTTCTCGCTGGGAGATATGCAGCCCAATTCATCGCCAGACAGAAGGGTAATATATGGCCCCCGCTCCTGCCTCACACACACACACACACACACACACACACACACACACACACACACACACACACACACACACACACACACATAGACACATACTCTCAAACAAATACATAACCACATTAGAACTTTTTACAGAACTAACAGAGCTGTCTGCATGTTCTTCACCCAGATTTCGCTCGCACCAACCTCTATTTCTTTTGGATGCTTTAACAACCAATGACTGAAGAAGCTGTGCCGATCCAGATGCCAAGGCGAGAAGGAAACAAACAGATAAGGAAATAAGAAAGAGGAAAAAAGGACAGACATTCCATCATAGCTCCCGTGGAGCTTCAGAAGGGACGAGCCTACCAGCCGTAATTTCTAATCGTGGAGAAAGGAAGACCAGCGAGGAAGACACAGGTATGCAAGGTTAATTCCCTCTTCATCTTCATCTTTTATCTCCTCTGCAGCAGTCCTGCTTTTATTGTGTGGTTGTGTAGCAGTATAGTTGCTATATTTCATGGTGATTGCGTATGTGATTTATGTGGGAACAGGAATGAGTCCGCTGAGAGGTTTCCCCTGGCTTTTGATATTCTTCTGTGCGGCAGCTGTGTGTGCAGGTACCACACATGCTCTCACATGTGCATTTACTCACAGAGACATATAGTATTTTCAAATATATCATCATTCCATTATTCCACACACACCTGTGCCTCCTCTACAGGTGTGGGTGGTGCAAAAGTTGACAATGTGTCATCAGAAATCTGTCGTCATCCGTGCGAGGACCTGGTGGGCTTGCTCACTGAGATCCAAGGCCTGCGTATTGTGACCAGCAACCTGCTTGAGGACCTGGAGAGAGTAGTAAGACAAACAATTATATGCACGCTTATCTGCATATCGGTATTTGTTTGTTGTCTCTCTGATGCTACATTTATTTTGATGTGGCTTGAGCAAGACATTGGATTATGTAATTAATTTTCTATCAAAAAAAAGGAAGTCCGACACTTCAACATCTGTGAAACGTCGTAAAATGGCGCATTTTGTAATTATAATAAACAAATGGACACAATCGTAGAGAACGCTGTCTAAGTCTCTGCGGTGCACATTGCACTGTATTTGACAGAGTTTTGTGAGAAATTTGTGTGACAAAACCAAGAAAGAGTAGCTCTTCTTTCAGTGGAAATGGAACAAGTAGTGACATCCTATTTCTGGCAGGAAGCACAGTGGTTTGTGGCAAATGTCCTGCTAATTTTGGGGTGGAAACACAAGCAGAAAGAATACCATCAGTGTTGAAATGTTGGCTACTAATAAACTCAACCACCATTCTAGTCAAATTCAACAGGTCTGTGTGTTCAGGGATACATACAAATAAATGTATTTGTTTTATTTATTTTGTATTGTCAGTCAAGAGAAAATGAAGAGATGCGCATATCTTTGGCTGAGCTGAGCAACAGCAACAGCAACAGCAACAGCAACAGCAACAGCAACAGCAACAGCAACAGCAACAGCAGCAGCAGCAGCAGAGGCCGTGGCCGTGGCCGTGGTGATGGCCGTGGTGATGGCCGTGGCGATGGCCGTGGCGATGATCGTGGCGATGACCGGAGTGATGGTCGTGGCCATGGTCGTGGCAATGGTCAGGGCCATGGTCGTGGCAATGGTCGGGGCCATGGTCGTGGCCATGGTCGTAGCGATGGTCGTGGCGATCGCCGGGGCGATGGTCGTGGTGATGGCCGTGGCGATGGTCGAGGTGATGGCCGTGCCGATGGCAGCGGTGATGGCAGCGGTGATGGCCGTGGCGATGGTCATGGTGATGGCCGTGCCGATGGCAGCGGTGATGGCAGCGGTGATGGCAGCGGTGATGGCCGTGGCGATGGTCATGGTGATGGCCGTGCCGATGGCAGCGGTGATGGCCGTGGCGATGGTCATGGTGATGGCCGTGGCGATGGTCATGGTGATGTCAATGATCTTGACAGAGATCGAGACGGGGAGATCTGGTGTGTGCAGGATGGACGAGTGTATGAGCAAGGGGAGAATTGGGAGGTGGACAGCTGCACCTCCTGTACTTGCCAGGTCAGTGTTGAACAAATCTTATGTAACCACAATCTAATATATCAGCAATGACGTGTTTCCCATGAGAGTGATCTGTCATAGATAGACAACAGACTGAAACATCACCTGCAGCGTCTGCTGTAGGTTAGATGGAAAATATTCTATACTGCAATCACTTGCATCTTTATCTGTAATTCTATTTTGTATGCAGCCCAGAGTAGTGTTTAAGTCTTTCAAGGGAAGTCCAAGTCAAGTCTCACGTCTTCATTGTGACTCAAGTCTGACTCAAGTCCATTATTGTTATTTTATTTGAATTATTTAAATACATAACATATATGGGGGTGACAGCTGCAAGACTACATTACTTAGAACTCTTAATACTAAACTAAACCCTTGACTTGACTTGGTACTTGAAAGTTTTGACCTGGTAAAACCCTGGAACATAAAAAAGTCCAAGACTTCTCTGTCTCTAATGTAGCATAGTTTTGTATGAATATTTTTACATTTTGGGAAATTGAAATTAGCTATTTGCTTTCTTTCTGAGGGTTAGATGAGACGATTGATACCACTCTCAAATCTATATATGTACAAAAACCGAAAAGAGGAATTAACAGGTTGTGATTTTACAGAGAGTTATGTGCTAAGTTAACAGTATCCTGGCTGTAGATACGGCAAGAAAGAAAATTTTCCAAAATGTCTAACTATTCCTTTAAAATGTATTAAGCAGTTGGTGAGATACTTAAGTTCCACTTGTATGCAATGTGGTTTCATTTATTTCCAGAGCTGCCTTTGTTAGTCTCCTATATTTTGTGCTTGCTTCATCCTCCTCTCTGAGTCTGTTTCTCTTTATAAAACATCATTAGTTTTTCAATGATGGATTGAGGGAGTAGGCAAACTTATTATGAGTCATGACAGCATGCCATTCCTCTGCAAGGTCTGGTATTTAGCACAACGTCTGGATCGAACTAGCATGGTTTGACTAATAATATTGCAAATTCTGAATGTATGAACACATTTTGAATTGAATCTTCCTCGCATTGTGTAGGATGGAAAGGTGGTGTGTCAGCAGGTGTCTTGCCCTCCTGTATCCTGCATCAATCCATCTTTTATCGATGGAACGTGCTGTCCTGTCTGTCAAAGTGAGTTTTGTTTGTTTGCAACTATGATTTAGTGTTGAAAATATGTGCTAAGATCACAAAATATGGTAAAGGTATACCATTTATGTATATAAAGATAATGAAGATGGCTGGTCTCCGTGGTCCGAGTGGACCTACTGTTCTGTAACCTGTGGACGCGGAGGGCAACAAAGGGGCCGATCCTGCAATGGCATCATGCCATCCTGTGCAGGCCCGTCAGTCCAAACCCGCAGCTGCATGCCGATGAAGTGTGACCGCAAGGGTAGGATATCACTCTACATGTCTGATTTGTCACATGTCTTGATTTAATAGATTTTTTGATTGATTGAGCACGGCGGGTCGAATTGAATTATCCTCAAAGAGAAAAATATGGAGCTTTAGATGAATGGATTCTAAAGACTGTAATCATAATTGGAAACATGTTGTAGTTCTGTAAATGTATACACAATGTGCAGCTTTGGTGGTGGTCTGTGATGAATTCTACTTTAAGACTTTTCCATTCTACTGTATAGAAAAAACCTGGACTTTTTACAGTCTTTATTTTCTTGTTGCATGTCTAGCGCGTGCTGACGGGAACTGGGGCCTTTGGTCTCCCTGGTCTGCCTGTACAACCACATGTGGAGAAGGCAATATCACACGGGTACGTCTCTGCAACAACCCTCCACCACAGAAGGGGGGCAGAGGGTGTACGGGCAGCGCCAGGGAGACATCACCTTGCAACAATACACTCTGCCCCAGTGAGTATACGAGCCCAAATGCACACACAGACTGCGCTGTAGTACTTAGCAGGCTTACATGTAAATGATGTGCTTGTGTGTAGTCGCTGGAGGCTGGACAAGCTGGACTGAGTGGTCACTGTGCTCAGAGTCGTGTGGGGGAGGTCTTATGAGTCGCCAGCGGGATTGTTTGAACCCCGCCCCTCAGAATGGTGGGAAGCCTTGTGCTGGAGATGCTGTGGACTATGAAGGATGTAACAAACAACCATGTCCTATAGGTAAACCTTAACTCTGTCCACAAACCTCAGGATATAGGCACATTTTACTGTGTACAATACTTACTACAAGTGTAGTAACTGTAAGTAGGCTAAGCCCCATGTCCATGGATGAACCTTATTCCTTTTTTATTGGATGAAACCTGTTTTCAAACAATGGAGGATAAAAAAACAACTTTATTCAATTCAATATGTGTTTTCAGATATATGTTTGATCTCAAATCCATGTTTTCCTGGGGTGGACTGCACATCACATAGTGATGGATCCTGGGAGTGTGGACGCTGTCCGTTGGGTTTAAATGGCAATGGCACTCACTGTGAAGATGAGAACGAGGTAATAAGAGCAGGCAAAGGATCAGACCACATAACATCAACTAATTCTACATCTTCAGTAAGATGCCATGTGGGGCCATAAAGACAAACTTCAACATTTTTTAAGCATGGATGTAGGGATGGCTCCAGTCTGTCGGTGTGTCCAGTCAGACAGAGAAATATCTCAACAACTTGATTATCATGAAATTTTGTACAGACCCATTGACTTTTAATCTAATGCCAATCAAAGTTTACACATATCCAGTAAAAAATCTCAACATCTAACCGATGGATTACATGTAGCGTAAAGTGCTTTGAGTAGATGGATGACTAGAAAGGCACATACAATATAAAAAATATAATCAATTAATTACATTTTCATCTAGCAGCCAGGTCAAAATTTTAATTTGTGCAATACTTTGGTTTATGACCAAATACCTGACCAACTAATTATATTCCCATCAGCCTCAGCTGGACTTGTACATGTTTAGTGCTAATCAGCACATCTTAGTTTACAAACACACTAAACAAAGATACTAACATGGTAAACATTATACCTGCTAATCATCAGCATGTTAGCATTGTCATTGTAAGCATGCTGATGTTCTCACTTAGCTCAAAACACAGCAATACTGCCTCACAGAACTGCTAACATGGTTGTAGACTCTTGATTTTACCTACTCTGACTAATTTGAGGTCTACGACATGCACCTTGAAACTTGGTTTGTACACTTTCCGGATCTTGCGAGTTTCTCTCTGATCCTCCCTGATCACATTTACACATCATGAAAGAAGTGTTGTGTAGTCTGATCCTGGCAGAGAGCTCCTCCTGTACTCATCACCTGTAAAACCTTTGTATTTACAATCTGTGTTTGATATGCTGAACATGGCTAATCCCTCCATCTCTGCAGTGTGAAGTGGAGGGCATGTGTGTCACTGAGTGTGTAAACACAGACCCTGGTTTCTACTGTCTGCCCTGTCCTCATCGCTATAAAGGAACCCAGCCATATGGCCTTGGACTGCAGGAAGCGCAGACAACCAGACAGGCATGTGTTTTCCTTTTTGTATGAACAACTTTACTTGCTTTGAACTACAATCATGAATGACTTTTGTATTCTCAAATACTTGCTTTGGTTATAGGTTTGTGAACCATACAATCCTTGCAAAGACAACACACACACCTGCCACAAGTATGCTGAGTGTGTGTATCTGGGCCTGGCGTCTGAGGTTTTGTACAAGTGTGTGTGCGCTGTCGGGTTCGCGGGCGATGGATTTCTGTGTGGTGAAGACTCTGATCTAGATGGCTGGCCCAACAACAGATTAACCTGCAAGCAGAATGCAACCTATCACTGTCAAAAGGTAAAATAATAAAATAAAAAAAAATAGAGAATTAAAAAATTATAATCTTATTGGTTAGCAGTTTTCTGGTTGGATGCGATTTCACTAAACTGAGTTGTGATTGGCTGCAGGACAATTGCCCCATGCTACCAAACTCTGGACAGGAAGACCTGGACAATGACGGACAGGGAGATGCCTGTGATCCTGATGATGACAATGATGACATCATAGACGAGAGGGTGAGACTGTGGCTCAGACATTTATGCATCTTCGACAAGTAAATCTGAAGATACAGTGACTGAAAACAGGCAAATATTAATATCCTGTGTGTGTGTGTATGTATGCATGCGTGAATGTGTGTGTTTGGGATAGGACAACTGCCCGCTGGTTTACAACCCTAGGCAGTTTGACTCCGACAGAGATGGGGTTGGGGACCGCTGTGATAACTGTCCATTTGATAGCAACCCGCTGCAGACAGACACGGATGACAATGGAGAGGGAGACGCCTGCAGCATCGACATTGATGGAGACGGTAGGAGATACTCACTAAACCAGGCCTGTACCGTGCAGTTACTCATCCAATTATGATGAGATAATTACATAATTTGTATCTATTCATCACAGAGGTAAAGGAAATCAAACTTGAAGAGCAATTCAATGCCTCGCATTAACTAAACCCCTTCACCAATTCTGAAAATGCATTTGAACTGGTAATTTTCTATGATGCTTAATTTCAACCCAACCTTATCCTAAACCCAACCAGTAATCTTACACACTTCTGACACTTGATTGCTGTATTTATATGTCGGGGATGGGGGGGTGCGTGACATCACTGTGTCCCAGATTCCTCATAGATTTTCACAGATTTTTGGGGTGCCTCAAGAACAGAATTACTGTATTTTCTCAGGAAAGGAAAATAAATTCTGTGGCAATGAACACTACAGACTGGGACCAGGATCGATTGGTAGTGTAATAAAGTAACTATATGTGGAATTTACTGACTCAAAAAATATGGATCGAATTACATTAACCCAAACATAGTTTCGATTTATTTTGGTTGGCGTGTCTTGTTTATGTATAATAACAGGAAATTTTCTATCTCTTCGTGTGTCTGTCTCTCTTTCTCCAGAGGTTCTGAATGACCGTGACAACTGTCCCTTGGTCTACAACACTGACCAGAGGGACACAGACTTGGATGGTGTTGGAGACCAGTGTGACAACTGTCCCCTTCTTCACAACCCACTGCAGGTTTCTGAAAAACACAAATGCATAAAAGCACAATTGGTACCGGGTAACAATTTATTAGTGGCAATCAATCAGGTATGGATACATGAAAAGGAAATATTACAATAAAATCTTGGAAGTCATGGGAGTGGGTCTGCTGGTTAAGGTAAAGCTCACTGCGGAGACCTGTGATTTACTACTATTTAAACATACAAATATATTTTATGCGTGTGTTTGCAGCTAGACTCTGACAGTGACCTGGTGGGGGACATGTGCGACAACAACGAGGACATTGATGAGGATGGCCACCAAAACTCTCTAGACAACTGTCCCTACATTGCCAATAGCAACCAGGCTGACCATGACAAGGACGGGAAGGGAGACGCCTGTGACCATGACGACGACAACGACGGTATCCCTGATGACCGGGACAATTGTAGACTAGTGCCCAACAGGGACCAGTTGGACTCTGATGGTCAGTGTTGTTAAAATTTTTCGATGTCAGAAAAGCCTTCTCAAAAACTGCTATTAATTTGCTGTAATACATCAAAATAACTGATATCTCTGATATCATGATACAGATGTGAACAAATGCTGATTCATTTGCTGTCACATGGGGAAGATATTTTGTACAATTTATGATAAATGGATTTTGCAGTCATGCAGTCAGTCCAGTATGTTTCCAGTGGTCCAGGTCATGTTAATGTTGGACATCAACATAAACAGTTTATGGCTCTCTGTAGTGTGATTAATCATGAAAAAAGATAATTTAATCTATCCACCATTATACAGGACTTTGTCACTACGTTTGCATGGTTTTTTGCCCATTCTTGGCAAAAATGAATGAATTCAGGAAATCACATGGTTGCATTCTCTCTCCTTATCCCTCCCTCTTGCAGGTGATGGTAGTGGAGACGCATGCTTTGACGACTTTGACAATGACAGTATTCCAGATGCGCTGGATCCCTGTCCGCTAAACCAGGATATTGGGTCCACAGACTTCAGGAAGTTTCAGGTTGTTTTGCTGGACCCAAAAGGCACAACACAGTCTGACCCTCTGTGGGTGATCCGCAGCCAAGGCACCGAGCTGCTGCAGACAGCCAACTCGGACCCTGGCATCGCTTTAGGTGGGATTAACTATAATAAAGAATACTTAACCCACAAAATTAAAATGAATATTGTCTATAAAACTAAGATCCCATTGTTTCAAAAGGTTATGACAAGTTCAGCTCGGTAGACTTCAGTGTGACATTTTATGTTAATACCAACCGAGATGACGACTACGCAGGCATTGTGTTCGCCTACCAGTCCAGTCGACGCTTCTATGTTGTCATGTGGAAACAGGTGAGGTTTGAAGGCTGACTTTAACATTGATAATAACTCCTACTGACTTCACTAATTGTAGCGGCAATCTTACCTAAATTGTCCTTTATAATCTTTAATCTGGGTTTTTTGAGTCAAATATTACATCCATCTATATGCATCTTCAATATCTCCTTGACCATGACCTCCTTTGCATTTCTCCTCTATTTCATAACACATTTTAGATTAGAGTTCACACGAGCAAGAAATGGAAAAGTGCATAAAAGAAAAGAAAGTACTACTGTACAAACATCGACTTAACCTTCACTCTCTTTTATCCGCATTCTTTCTTTCTATGAGAGCAGGTGTCTCAGGCCTACTGGGAGAAAATGCCATCCAAAGCTTTTGGCACGGCAGGAGTCTCAATCAAACTGGTCAACTCCACCACAGGACCAGGGGAGTATCTACGTAATGCCCTGTGGCACACTGGAAACACCAGACACCAGGTACGACTCATTGACTTTAAATCTCTCTGTCTTTTCTTCCTTATTTGAACAGATAAACCTTCCCTAAAACAACCTTGAACAGACAATTCTTTGTTAGATTAGTACAGTATAGTGCAGATACTCTGGTACAATTTACTTCCACACTGACGTGTGTGTGTGTGTGTGTGTGTGTGTGTGTGTGTTTGTGTGTGTGCCTGTTTCAGGTGAGAACTCTGTGGCACGACCCCAATAAAATTGGCTGGAAGGACTTCACAGCCTACCGCATGCACCTCATCCACAGACCCAAGACCGGGTTCATCAGGTACGAAGACTGTCATCATATAACTTCATCATATAAAAATGTAACAGTGGTTAGATTTAGTAATGTGAGATTCTTTAATGAGACCGAACCCAGAATATCCAGCATACATGAGGAAACAAACATTGCTGTGGTAAATAGTTGTGTCTATAAGCACAGATAGTCACGGACAGGACAACTGATATATGAACCTGTAGATGTACTGAGTTAAAAGCATCTGTCACTTGGCTGGTTTTCCTCTTTGGAATCTGAATTTATATTTTCATGTCCAGCTGCCACAAACTACAGCTGGATTGCGATCATGGAAATCACCCAACTTTTAAAGTTGCAAAAACAAAGATTTCTGGACTTCCTTAGAGGAACAATTGCTCTCAAGTGAGAATACTTCTATGTTACCAGTAACCTTTACATTTTAGTTTACAGTTAGAACATTTTAGATTATTGGCTTGGCTTTTAAAGGACCTTGCCAGCATTTTAGCCCATTTACTACACATCACATATACATAATTTTCCTATATTGCTTCTAAGGATGTGAATGCGTGAAAATCAACTTGGAGAGACTTCAGACTTGATTAAGATTTATGAACATCATGTCTGTGTTTATTTTTGTTTTACTGATTTGTACAAATTCAGTCCAGACTTTTCAAATCAATCTGTTCTTACAACTGTTCCGCTCACTGGAGATCACCGAATTAAAGCAGGGTTTACTGTGTACTGTAGGTTGATTTTAAAAATCTAATGAAGTAGATATATGTGATAGTTTTCTAAATGGGATAAAACATGCAAAAATGACACATTTGGGTCTGAGTCAGTACTAGTTTACTTCTTGGAGGTTTAAGTGGAGCAACAATGTGCTGAATAACTTCCTAAATATGTGAAAATCACATTTAGTTCCACCTTTGAAGAAAAATAATCACCCTCAGATGTTCTTACACTGGAGAATATCATCAATCTCAAAGAGTTATTTTATAACAGCATAATTCACTTTCTGTGTTGTACCCAGTTCTTCTCAACCTGCCACATCCAGTTCTACTTAGTTGTAGTTCTCACTAATGGACTTGCAAAAACACCCCCGGGCAGTGAGTTTTCTGTGGTTTGTGTTGTTAATGTGCAGCTGGACAGAACAAGTACACTTTACTATAGTACTATAGCAAAGTTTTCAAGCTGAGAAATCGTGAGGAGAAAGGGAACAAATCTGTGATGTGCCAAGTGCAGTTGTTCCAATTAGTAAAATACTCTTAAGGCTCTGTGAAGATGTGAAATGATGGCTGTGTTGTATTTTGGGTACTGAATTATTGTAGGATGACTGTACGCTTATTGAATGTGAGGCTGAAAAGAAGCTCCTGCTCTTTGATTGTGAAGGACAGATACACTGATAGTTTGGATAGTTGCTATGAAGCACCATTGTAACTGCCCCATTTGACGTCATGACCTCAGTGTTATCCAGGAATGTAAAGTAAAATAGAGAACAGCATGTAAAATACATGAACATTCCCAGTGTAAAAATGAGTACCAGCAGCAGAATTGACTCAAAGAATGAATTTAAAAGTTTCCATTATGCAGGTAAAATAGCCTCTGTTAGAGTTATATTGTTAGAAATTATACTACTGGATTATTATTACTGATGTATGCAGCATTTTAACATTGTATCTAGCTGAGGTGGAGCTCAGCATTTCATTTTAGAGTTCAAAGTCCAGAAAGTTTTAAAATCTTAACCTGCAAAGTAATTATAGCTATCAGAGTAAAATAGTGGATTACTGTATTATTACTATATTATTACTATATTAGTACTATATTAGTACTATAAATTACCATATCTTAGCTGCTTTTCACCACTTATTTTAACATTATAGACTTTTTTTAATTTGAAATGAGAATTTATTTTTTTCTCTTATACCTATAGTTGTGGTCTGCATCTGTGATAAATGCTACATATGATGTTAGCTGTGTTGTGTTCCCATCACAGGATGGTGGTGTATGAGGGCAGGGACATTTTGTCCGACTCGGGGGCGGTGTACGACCACACCCTGGCTGGGGGCAGACTGGGACTGTTTGTCTTCTCTCAAGAACACGTCCTCTTCTCAGACCTCAGATATGAGTGCAGAGGTAAGATATTCAGTCAAAACACTGGTCCTGACTACTGGTCAGTGGTGGAAGAAGTGCTCAGAACCTTAATTTTATTTAAGTAAATTAACCAATACAACAATGTAAAAACACCCCATTACAAGTAGAAGACCTGCAGAACAAGTAGAAAGATGTGCTTATTATATAAAAAAAAAATGGCTCCTGCGACTGACCCTGTGGTATATGATGATGCATCAATGTGTTAGCAGAATTTTACTGTTGTAGCTTGCCAAGGTGAAGCTAGTTTCAACTACTTTATATACAGTTGTATAGGCTGTTAGGTTCAGTGATTCTCTTTTTTTTCTCTGATCTTTGCTTTTTTCTGGAAATATTGGATAATTTGACCTATTTGGGCCTCAAACTGTTTCTTAAGTCAAACCAAATGAGAGGTTTAGAGGGATAATACCTCCTTAGTGGCTTCTGAAATGTTCAAACTAGACAACTTTTTGTAAGAGGTGAGTAAAGAATTTTGGGAATCACTGGTTAACAATGTATTGTATTTTAAAGGGTAGCCTATCATATATGTGAAGGAATTTCTGGGGCACTATTGCACAGGTTTCCCCAGGTCATGATAAGGTCAATTGCTGAGCTTAAGTAAACCAAAGGTGACAGCCTGTAACTCTCCAGAACAGTAGACCTCTTTGTCTGCTTGGTCGACTGACTGATGCAGCTGCCCTGATAAAGATGCATGCTGTGATCCATCTCCTGGGAAACCCAATGTTGAGATTATCTTTATTTTGTTTCATTACAGACAGACTGACTGGATCTATGTAGAGCTAAGTGTAGCATGTCACTCGAACGACACACAATGTGACTTAAGTGTGCCTTTTGAACCAAATCCAATAGAATCTTCACACATGTGTAGATGTGTGAACAACAACCTTATTTACCACTTAGGGAATCTATGTAGGTCTAAGAAGAATAAATGTCCCCAGACAGGAAGTGGCCTTCAGACTTGGTTGTGGCACGGCAAGGCTTCAACAAACATTGCTTCTTCGTAATACATCCTGAGATCTTCTGAAATAAGAGTTGACCTGCTCCAAGAATTTCAATAATAATATCTCTTTCGTGTAAAATTTGAGTACACCTGTCAAATTAATGTAGTTGAGTAAAAAGTTCAATATTTCACCCTGAACTGCAGTGGAGTAGAAATATAAAGTAGCATAACAAAATACTCACTTAATTACACTACTAATTACTACTGATCACTTTGTCCTCCAGTATTTGCAAATCAGTACCTCTTATAACAGCATGACCAAATCTCTTTTTTTCCTTTCATTTCTCTCCCCTCAGATAACTGAACATCCCACCAGAGATCTACATTAATTTCATGGAAATCTTTATACAATTAAGAGATAGAGAGCGAGAGAGAAAGAGAGAGATGATGCACCAGACCCAGGCTTTTCTCCTGCCAAGACTATCAATTAGTGACCATCATCTATCTATCAGCTTTTAATGCGACTGTATTGATTTCAGGCTGTCTCATTCGCTGCTTATTACTGCAAGACTCAGACAGTATCACTAGTGACAGTAACCTCTAGTTGCTTTTCATTTTGCTTTTTGCTAATGTTGTAAATAATTATTTATTGCCAGATGCCAGATATGAAAGGGAGAGATGGGAGAATAAATTGATGATGGCATAAGTAGAGCATGTGCGGATGTCTGGTGGTAACTTATCAATAAAATACTTTTTTTTCAATTGTTTCTTTATTTCTTTTCTTTTCTGATGAGGCCAGTACAGTACACATAGGCTATTGTTGTGGAAACGTGGTCTCTAGCGCCCTTCAGTGGTGAACGTAAAATTACAAAGGAAAAGAGAAGAAACCCATGATGACAAAGGTTAGTTAAGGTTGGTAAAGTCAGAGGTGAAAGAAGTATCTAAATAATTTAGTGACATAAACGTAGACTAGTACTAACACAATACAAAAGGTTAATATTTATTATATTATTATTATATTATTTTTAAAGCAAATTTCACTAGTAAAAGTAAAAAAAAGTATTATGAACAAATTTTACTGTACTAAGAATAAAGTAACAGAAAATGGAAATAGTCAAGTAAAGTCGAGGTACTTAAGTACAGTACCTACTACTGGATAAAAAGGATAATACTTTAAATCATTGTTCTTAACCGATAATGCATTACTGATTAAACATCCTGGAAGATGTTGTTTTAATGTTCTTGTCCTGTTAACCCTTTTTTCTCTCTCATGTTACTTCCCTTCCCTTTTTGTGATCCTTGTCTTACTATTTAAACAAGCAAAACACAAACGTTGTTCCATAAATCTGGGTCGCCAAAGACATATGACCTTAGTGTCAGTAAAAATAAATCCTTTGTAATGACACAAAACACTAAACCTGTTTAACCAGTTGTAGCTTAAAGGGCACACCAACACACACCCAGGTGTATACACGCGCGCGCGCGCGCACACACACACACACACACACACTCGCTCGCTCTCTCTACCTGGAGCATTGAATGACCGACGTCACCACTACCACTGCTTCTACTGAGATGAGAAAAATGAGGAAGAAGAGTCCGTCCACCAGGTAGAGAGGATAGAAGTCATTACCAACAAAAAAATACTTTCTGTCTTGTTAACTGAAACTTGCTGAGTGTTGATAAATCAAGTGCCAGTAACCTGTGCAAACTGGAAGGTATGGTGCGTGGATGTACCAAAAGCTCTTGCGCTCGGTTTCTGGAACGACACCAGTCAGCGCTGAATTTGACACTGTTGCTTGTTGGTTACATCGTTTACCTCGTAATCGGCGCCGGGATCTTCTCCGCCATCGAGCTGCCGTACGAGCAGGATCTTCGGCAGGAGCTGATCACGGCCCGGCAAGATTTCCTGAGCAACAACACCTGTGTGTCCGACGTGATCCTGGAGGAGCTTCTTGCCCGCGTGCTGGAGGCCAGCAACTATGGAGTGTCCGTGCTGGAAAACGACACCAAACGCAACTGGGACTTTGTGTCCTCCCTGTTCTTCACCAGCACTGTGCTGACCACAACAGGTGAGGGCCTGGTACACAGGTGTTGCAACTGTATACTGTTCTTCACATAATTTGGTGTAATGTGTTTGGGGTTTTTACACAAAAAAAGATCTATAACTTCTTTCAAAATCTTAAATTTACATCTAGGTCCTACTCCCTCTCCAGAAGCAATTAATATGCATATTTTCTGTTTCAAAAGTTTAACTGAACAAAAGATGTCTCCTCCTTCACAAATGTGTGTTCTGCACAGTGAAGCTCAAACATTCAAGTGAAGCAACAATAAGAAAAAGTGGAGGGGGATAATTATAAATAAATAATCACAAAGCCATTAATCCCAACAACTTTTGTTTGCCAACATGTGAAAAATCCCTCTCACTGGTGTTTAACCTTCTCCATTTGGTAATTATTTGATTATAAATGTTGGCAATCCACTGATAAATACTTTTGGGTTTATAAACCATCATGTCTGGAGTTATACATGTTAATAAGTTAGTCTTTTCTCACAGCACTGTAGATCACAGGGAAGACACACATCATCACACACCAGTAGGCCTAACAGAAATACATGAAACACAATACAACACCACATAAAAACGACAACAAGACTCGTCCTTCCTTTATCGAGTCACCCTGTCTATGGCTGTGTGTACCAGGCTTTTGCCAAAGCGAGCCTTTCTGCACCTCAGGGACCTATACCTGTGACGAGTGAGTGGGTCTGTGATGTCCTATGCTACTGTATTTGCAATGCGTGTGATGACCTTACAATTGAGATCTGATAGGCTGGGTTAGGGTTAGCTCCTGAAGCTTCATAACACATAAGGCACTTACATAAGGCATCCATTCTGTTGAAAGGAGCAAATAAACCCACAGAACTGTGGCCTTCAGTAAACATTAAGCTTTGAAAGGCTGGAATGAAACTAAATTAATAATTCATTCATTTGTTTAACCTATTATTTATTTATAGATTTAAGATTTAGTCAGGCACTGTCTTTCTTTTCCTTCTGTCTAATCATTGTTATGTGCGCAGAGCTTCACAGGTGCTAAGTGGCTGCTGGAGAAGAATCCCACCTCTAATTGTACCCCTGTAATTAAGGCTTTGCTGCATGTCTGGTTGTTTTTTCAGGTTATGGCCACACTGTTCCTCTCTCTGATGAAGGGAAGGCCTTCTGCGTCTTCTACTCCCTTTTTGGCATCCCCGTTACCCTCTTCTTCTTCTCTGTTGTGGTGCAGAGGATTATGCTGCTGGTGACTCAACGTCCACTGTCCTACTTCCACCGTCGATGGGCCATGTCTAAATCGAAACTAGCCACCATACACGCTACCTGCCTAACCATCATCTTTATCTTACTCTTTCTTATCATTCCTGCATGGATCTTTGTAAGCCTGGAGAATGACTGGGACTTTCTGGAGTCTCTGTATTTCTGTTTCATCTCTCTGACAACTATTGGCCTCGGGGATTATGTCCCCGGAGAGACCCAAAGTGAAGAGGCCAACCCACACCCACAGCTCTATAGGCTGGCCATTACAGGTGAGTCATAATATACAGTTTTGCTTTAGTTTATCTCTAAAATGTGAAAAATTAAGCAATTAATGACTGCAGACATTTGCTGCATTTTTGATTGTCCCCATAGGTTTAGAAAATGTTTTAAGAGCTCAAGCATTAGTAAGTTTTCTAATCCGGTAGCGAGGTGCTTCCCAACCTTGTTGGATTGTGACCCCTGAAAATAAAGCGTTGTTTACTTGCGCCTCATTGTCACAGTTAGCAAGTCTATGAGTTGTGAGCAGTTCAACCAAATAGTGATTTGTCCATGTCATGTTTCAACTGAATGATTTTAGAGGCCTGGTGAGGTGAAAATGATTTGATGGTTTCATAGAAAAAAGGCAACAATACTACGCGTGTACAGCCATGTTAGCAGCTCTGTGAGGCTGTACTTGGGCGCAGTGGAACTTTTAGCTAAAAGCTAACATCAGCATGCTAACATGCTCCCAATGAGAGTGCTAACATGTTGATGTTTATCAGGTATTGTTAACCATATGCCATCTTAGTTTAGCATGTTAGCAATTTAATATTAGCACTAAAAGTACAGCATAAGCAGAAGGGGATGTAATTACTTTGGCAGGCATTTGGTTAGGTTCTAATCCCTTTGATAATCTTTTGCGTATTGACCCCCACACTGGGAACCACTGCTGCAGACGACCATGTGGTCCTTTAACTAAGGTTAAAATTATAATACAAGTTTTCATTCAGCATTAATAATATGTTCATTACAGCCTGATCTTGTTTTTCACCATTTACCATTTTAGCTTTTCTGTTTGACAATGTTAAACAAAGCAATGACTATTAGCCACGACGCCCTTTGTTACTGACCAAACCTTGATTTGATCTGATTAGTCATCAGATTCATCATGCTGCCACTGTGTGCGTGTGTCTGTGTGTGTTTGCTCACCCAGCCTACTTGCTGCTGGGATTGGTGTGTGTCCTGGTGGTTCTGGAGACGTGTTGCGAGCTTCCCCAGATGAGACACCTCAGACAGAGGTTTTACAAGGAAAACGTTCGGGAGCTGGACTCTGAGACCACCAACATCATTGACCGGGATCACCTGAGCGACCCATTGAGCGACCTGTCGGATCATGTGACAGGTCACCTACCAGTCATCCCTTCTGTGTCCGAACAGGCTGCGTCCCTACAGCAGGACAGCAAGTCTTACATCCCAGCATCAGGATCTACTGTTAATGGAAAACTTCGATGACAGATTGTTTGGACTTGTGCTTCATTCGTGACCTCTGCCTAAATGTGTATAAACAAGTATATAAGGAACCTGAGCACACTGAGTGTATATCTTCACATAAACTGAGTCACTTAATCACTTACAAAGGGATTGCCCTCTGCCTTCTGCCATTGCCAACACCAACAGACATTTGTGGCGTAAAAACAGGAACAACCCACAGACTATCAGGATGGCTTTGTTTTCTTGTTCTCCCCTGTTGCGCCATTCCCTGCCGATAAGGGCTAGATCTGGGACACAGAGGAAGGGCTGGGCCCCCAAACGGAGGGAAACCCCACAAGGTTCCACTTCCTGCCAAAGTCTTGATGCAGTAATTTCAAAGTGGCACAGTTTGCTCTATAGGATATCACACCTGCTCTCAGCACAGTATGTCATTTATGGTGGTATTTGTATAGGAAAATTGATTTCTTGGAAGTTGGAAAGCGGTGCCAGGATACTCAATCAGGCATGCCATCAGCTGTCCTATTGTACATTATGTACAAGGATTCCAAGAAGAAGTAATGGCAAGGAATAAATAATGTTTTCTTCCTGGTTGCTTACAGGTGACTATTTGTCCAAGCTAATGCAGTCAAATACAGTAGTCCTGCAATAAATTCTACCTTAAGGATGGTTATAGTGTTCAGTTTAATAATATTTTTATAGAAGTGGCGATTCAACTGTATGATCATTTTGGAGGCTGCAGTTTGGGTGCTGCTGGACGGTATAACATCACACAGAGCGGTGTTTCTGTTATTAAGCCTAAAGTGCAACCTCCATCATGACCATACAGTTGAATCAGCACCTTCTCCAAAACAGTTCCATCAAAAACTGAACCCCCTTCATAAAGGGAGGCTTTATAGCAGGCCTTCTGTATTTAAGTGCATTAGTTTTAGTTAGATGTACCTAATAAACTGGCAATTGGGATAGTCATTCTGTATTGTGTGCCTCACACCACTAGAGGGCAGTACTTACACTTTTCTGTACAAAAGATACTATAGATTTACACAGTTCATTGTTACTGGGATATTATCTCTTGTTTTGCTCAGTGGGTGTTTCTTAAAAATGGTTATAAAATGCATGTCATTGTTACAACTGAGAGTTAAACATGTAGCAGTTTTTATTATCCACATATTTTGTCAAATCTGTCCCAGTTTACAGGAGTGCTAAACCCATTTTTTCATGTGCTAGTGAAACAGCTTGAAATAAAAAATCAAAAGAAAATAAATTGTCTTCCACAGATCATTTTGCTGCTATTTTCATAGTAATTTTGCTAGTTTTTGGGTTTTAATAAATAGCATAACTTTGTAATGGTAGTTTTTATAAATTAGCTTTCTGAATTGTGCAAATCATGCAACATTGAACATGTTATAATTGATTCTATTTTTACTTTTTGCACAAATGACAAGTGAACTAAACATTTGATATAAACTTGGGTTATTTTATTTATTCAGTGTCATATTCACATCATAAGACATATACATGCAGACTTTTGTGGGTACACACACTCAAGCACACATTCAAATTCACACATTCAAACTCAAAAATACATACTCACATACTGTCCTTCAATCAAAACAGAAAAACTGACTCCACAGTGAGAGAAAGTATTTGTCCTTCTGAAATGTCCTCGAATCCACTTGAGCTGCAGGACTGTTGTTGTTGTGCAGCAGATGTTGAACTTTGACCTCCCCACAAAGGCTGGAAGGTGTGATGTTTATTATTATTGGTAGAATAGCTTACACCAACACACTAACAAGCCCTCACAGACATTCCCTCCCTCACCGTCACTCATACATATATCTTTGTGTGTTTATACGATCTGTGGCTGTTTCGAGCAGCGGGGCCAGAGAGGCCGCAGGCTGACAATGAAGAGGATGAAGAGCAGTACTGCCATGATGGTGACTATGGAAACGTAACCAGCGTGGGGCAGAGGCGGAGAGTCAGGAGCCTCAGCTGGAATCATGTTGGTCAGATTCAACATGTAGCCCAATGTCCAGCCTGCATCACTGCCTTTTATCTGGACACAAACACAGGAAGAGGGAAAACTCACCATCATTCACTGATGTACTACATGTGAGTACAGTTTGGAGATATTAATACTGTACTTGAATACAGATGGGTGACAAAATTTAAGTAAAAAATAAATAAGTAAGTGTAGATAGAATACAGATGCTTCCATATATACAAGGGATCACTGAATGTTTTGATAAGTACAAAAATAATTTGCTGTGGCCCTCACAGTCACCAGATCTCAATCCAAATAAAAACCTATGGAATAACTTGGACCTTCATGTCAGACAGCGCTCTCTACCATTATTATCAAAACACCAATGAAGTAATATATTTTGGAAGAATGGTGTTCTCTCCTCCCCCCCCCCCCCCCCCCCCCCCCGCGACCCTGTATGCAGGATAAGCGGTTGACGATGGATGGATGGACGGATGGATGGATGGTGTTCCCCCCTTCAGTAGAGATCAATTAAGCTGTTGTGAAGGCTTACAAAGGCACTTTGTTTTTTCCCTTATATTTTCTATTTAAAGTTCTAATTAAAGATGTTTTCTCTAACAGCACTTCAGAAGACATGTCAAACTTATTAAACATAAGAGTTTTCAAATGCAAAATTTACTTCTTTTTCACAGCAATATTTCAAAAATGTATACACAATAACAATATACAAAACAAAAACAGGGACTTAATTGCCCGAAAAAATGTGTGAATTTAGCTATTTATTCCTCTTTTAAAACTTAGTTTTAAAAGTTATTTTATAAACCCATTACTTACTTGGATATTCATTTTTGTAATTATGTATTTATTGATTGTTTTATGTTTTTTTACCCATTTATTGATAGATTAATACAAAAAGTGTACATTTATTATCATTATTTTAAATATTTAATAGTCAGATATTTAAATCATTCTTGGTTTTTTTGTCCAATTAGATATCAATGAATAGAAGGCTGAAACCAGTTCAATCTCAAAAACCTTTTGCAACATAAGGGCTTCCAGGGGCGAGTTCAGCGCTGACAAAACGTTGCAAAACGTTTTTTTCAACAGAAACGGTGGTTCCCTGAACACCCTGTTGTGTACACAAGCGCACTGCATTTTCCTGCCGTTTAAACACCGTTGTGTTTACAAACTTGTTGCTGCTGATTGGGTAATACCTGAGACACGCCCACCAAACGGGAGAACACATGGGCGGGTTCAGTCTCAAAACGTTTTGCACCGGTTTGCAAAGTTTCGGGGTTGAATGACATGTTTCCATGAACCGGATGGAACGTTCCGCAACAGGCTTTGAGGTAGCCTATGGGCGGGTTCAATCTCAAAACGTTTTGCACCGGTTTGCAACGTTTTCACATTGAACGGCATGTTTCCTTGAAACGTTGCGCAACGTTCTGCAACGGGCTTCGAGATATGTTTGCTCCTGTTTGGTGGGCGTGTCTCAGGTGTTACCCAATCAGCTGTGTAAAGTTTGTAAGCACAAAGGTGTTAAAAAGGCAGGAAAATGCCATGCGTTTGCGTACACAACAGGGTGTGTATGTGTGGTAGAAATTTACGTTTTGTTGGGGATGAACTCGGCTCTGATTTCCAGTCGCCATCATGCCTGCCAAACTAGGTAGGCCTGCCCCCTGTGCTGCTTGTCCTTTCATTCCTTGCTGGTGATGTTTTTGGCTCAGCAGGCTGTTTTTCTTCGCAATGCTTAGAAGCTATCTTTAATTTAGCTTGAATTATTTGGATTAATTGCTTTCACATTCTCATTGCTGATGCTGTGTTGCTGTAGGTTATGTTTGCTAACTGTAACTGCTGCTAAATCGTGAATTTGTATTGGTGTGAAACATAATGTAATGTAGCAGATGAGCTCTTGTCTTGTTGTTTGGTTGTAGTTTGGCATATACATTATATGCTTTAATGACCTTTAAGTACTGAAAGTGTTTTCTTTGGTAGTGGGCTGAATTGGTTTTTGATGATGTTTCCCCTGATGGCGTTGGCTTGTCTGAGGGTGCTTATTGGGTCACTACAATTCAGGTCTCTAGCAGAGGGTAATATTGTATATTGGCTGTTTTGCAATTGTAATATTGACCTCATGGATAAATAAAAAATATAAACTTTGATTGTTAAGCCAGCTCTTGCATGGCATGCAAATAGTTGAATGAGAGGCAAATTGCAAAGCGCTTTTGTCTGCTAAGGTACAGTCCATTTAGTCCATACATTGTATACTTACTGTTAGATCTCAGATGAGAAGGGCTTTGCTACTATTCAAGGGAAATTGCAACATGACTGTTTCTTCGCATAGCCTACTACGATGGCGTATTAAGGCCATTGTAGATTGCAAAAATACAGAGCTGCTGGAAGAGGGTAATCTTCTGAAAAAAGACCTTAATCATAAAGCCAGTTGAAAGCATGTGTGACATCTTAGTCATTTATAAATGTCTGCAGTTCTTCCCTAAGATTTTTAAGAAAGTAGCTGATGTGACAGCTGTTATGAAAAAGCAGGGTATGCAGATGTTAATAAACATCTGCATACCCTGCTTTTAAGAGTACAGAGCCTTTAATAACACAAGCTACGTCAGCAAAACCGTATTTTCTTGAAATTTGTGACTTTTTTTCCTTTTATAAATCAGAATCAACTTGAAACGTGGCGCATGTGAGCCAGCTCTTTGTCCGTCCTTTTAAACGGCCATAGTTGCTTAAAAATGGTCAGTGAAACGCCCCTCATTATGTACAGGCTGAATGAAGATGACGATGACAAATTCTGACAGAAAAGCTTAAAAAAGAAATTTAACCTAGTGTAACAATGATGTTCTTTTTGGTGAGGTTGAAGCAAGAAAGATAATGTTGTTTTATGCGTAAAACACACACACACACACACACTCAGTGCTTGTGCACCAGAGGAAAGAGGCCACCAGAGCTCAATCCCCTTGATAACTGATATTCAGGAAGGAGTATCCCTCCTGAGTTGTGACGGTGGTGGAGGGGGTACACATTTGCTATGCAAAACGCATTGGATGGGTAGGTAAAAAATGTGGAGAGACTAAACCAAATGCCTTCAGGTTTAAACATTTATTTAGGCTACACAAACGCTCCGCTCACTTAAAGAGGCTGCCAGTGAGAGAGTTAAAAGAAATATGCCTTTTTTTATGTGACGTAAGCCGTACAGTGAAAGATTTACTTAATAAATAGTGTTGTTACAAGCAACGCATCACATCAACACGCTGGCGCACAGTGCATCAACATGTGCTAATATACAGGGGTCCCTGTATGTAAGCACTCTCTATGAGCCCCTCCCGGCATCCACGGCTATTCGTTCTATGTATCTTTGTGGGCCCTCCTCACATGAGGGCCCTGTATACTCAGTCCCTTTTTCCCTCCAGTCTTACACCTTTGACATTATATTCAGTTCAATTCAATTTTATTTATATAGTGCCAAATCACAACAACAGTTATCGGCGCTTTTCAAAAAAGAGCAGGTCTAGACCGTACTCTGTGATGTTATTTACAGAAGCCCAACTATTCCCACCAAGAGCAGCACTAGGCGACAGAAGCAAGGAAAAACTTCCTTTTAAGAGGCAGAAACCTCGAGCAGAACCATGGCTCAGGGTGGGCGGCCATTTGCCTCGACCGGTTGGGGTGAATGGGGGAGAGAGAGAGAGAGAGAGAGAGAGAGAGAGAGAGAGAGCGGAACAGAGAGAAAAAGAGAGGGATGGAAGGAGAGAGAGGGGAGGGAGGCAGCCTACATAATATACACACAGCGGTACAGACAGTAAAGGTGATGTTGCTATAGACTAAATGAAAAATGGTATAGATATTTATAGTAGTGTTAATGATAATAATCGTAATGTTAATGATTATAATAACAATAGGACTAGTAACAATAGTTGTTGTAGCAGAGGGTGTAGAGCAGGAACACGGGGGCAGCAGGTGACCACTTCTCATATGAAACTATGTACTCGTATTTGCACGAGTGAGGCATCGAAAATGCGATCAATTTAAATGTAATTTGTCCTACTTTTCACATTATTTATGAAAATGAAGTGCACTGCATGCAAGTATTAATTAATACGATTCCCTATTAAACTGTACAATGAATTCGAAGCTTTCGAAACAGATACTCTGTTTGTGTTTATTATCCTAAATCATGGTTCTTTTTGTGTGGCTGCAAATTATCTTACATTTTTAAAGTTTTTTTTATTGCGTATTTCAGGGAAAATCAATGAAACAGGTGTTTGTTTATTCAGAAAGGCTTTTATCTGTTTTACCAGTGTACTCATAATATGGATATAATGTTTTATTACCCTATAATACTCGGAGGTAATATTGCAATTTATTTTACACAATCAAACCGTTTCATCCATCTACCATGTCAGTCACCATTTATCATTTCTCCAGTTTATGTGCATTCACATGCCTCAGTTTGCGTGGAGGCCCGCTCAGTCTCCCTTCAAGATTGTTTTTTAATAGATCACAACCTTGGCATGGGAAATGGCGAACGCACGTTTCCAGGCCTTTTTTGTGCGTACACACCATTTATAAATGACACCCCAGGCCTCTATCTAAATGAATGGGGAGAGAGCCTTAACTGCACTTTCAATAGTCACCGGGACATAATAACTGCAAATCTGATTAAAAAAATGCTAGAAAATATGACTTGGCCCCAAAATAAGGTTTAAAAAGTGTTTTTTTTTACCCACAGGTTACACTTCTACTGCGCATACGTGGTAGCAGTGACCCAAGCGTAGTAGATCCATACGTCAGTGGGACCACACAATTGGCTTAATATGTTTCTCGGCTACAATATCAAAAGCAGACGACTGGCTTTTTAGTGGGAGGAGTGGAATAACCCCCATCTTTGGCGTTACGGGCCTTCCCTATAGTGTTGTTTTGAGGATTCTTTAAGTGGTGTGTCTCCTTTTAAAACATCTCTGCCTGAGGCTAGCCATAAGGCTGTTTATGAGCTTTAGTTCTGCTATATCTAACTGGCACTTAACTGCCATTTACTATAATGGTCTCAGACTGAACCGAGGAAATGCGTATCAGGTGTCTTGGAATTGTTTGACATCTGGTAAAATTGCTGTGAAGTTTTGTAGGCTGAGCAAGTCCTTGATGGATTATCTAGTTTTTTGTTCTCCTTTTTGGGCCATGAGTTGTAACCTCACAGTCATGAGTTAACTGGGTGTCGAGGTGCTGCGCCTTTTTACTCATCCACAGCTCTCTCTGTAGCTCAGACAATCCCTTCTACCTGCGTGTGCTAATCCATTCTTTCACCCACATTCTTTGTCTTTATAATTGCTATCTTTATAATAACAAACAACGGCTGTTTCATGTGCAGGATCACTCATTTCCAGTTTCACGTGTGTTTTCTTGACAACGTGGTTTGGAGACCTGCGTCGGGGGACAAAGCCGCTGTCAGCTCGTTACCGATCAGTCACATAGTGTGAACTTCAAGACTCCCATCAGATGACGGCAAGTTGTGTGAACGGCAAGACCATCGGCCGACGCTAAAAGTAGTCTACTACTACGAGCCTGTAGTATCACTTGTATAGCACTCGGGTGATGTTTATAAAGCAGCTGTCTGGTTGTTGGTCTTATGTTTGCTGTATGACACACTATGAATTTCCGAAAGGACCAATAAATATCTATCACCTATAAACATGCACAGCTGATCCCGTTACCGGGGGAAGGTGCCGAAAAGTGATCGTCCGCTGAAAACTGATTGCAGTCTGCTGGAGCTGTATTGCCCAGTCTCTTCAATCACTTTCTGGCAAGTGAAATAGCCTACTGCATTTTATGGGTTGTATCGGCCATTTAAAGGTATTTTAACAGGTAAAAAAGAGTGGATTGGTTGGTAAGCCTACACAGCAAGTAAAATAATGCAGAGTCGTAAGGATAATTGCAAAATTGTCTTCATTTTATATCTAAGTTGGCAGTAAGTCATGTTAATTAGGCTACAGGCCGTTTTCCAAATATAAACAAAGATATTAGACATAGGCCTACCAAACATCAGTTTTTGGCGGGCGATCACTTTTCGGCACGACACTGGCGCCAAACAAAAGTACTTCTTAAACGATGCATCAATGAATCGTTGAAATAATCTATAGAAGCTCTGAAAAAACTGAGATTGTAGTACTTGGACCCAAAGACCTCCGAGACACATTGTCTGCAGACATAGTTGCCTTGGATGGAATTGCCTCCAGCACCACCGTGAGGAATCTGGGAGTTATTTTTGATCAAGACCTGTCTTTTAACGCACACAAAAGCAAACTAAGGACTGCCTATTTTTACCTCCGCAATATTGCGAAAATTAGAAACCTTCTGCATCGAGATGATGCAGAGAAACGTGTCCACGCATTTGTTACCTCAAGGCTTGACTACTGTAACTCCGTGCTTTGAGGCTGCTCTAAAAAATCTCTGACAAGCACCAGTAGGAGAGATCATATCACCCCTGTTTTAATAACGTTGCAATGGCTCCCGGTATAATTGAGAATTGATTTTAAAATACTTCTTCTTACATACAAAGCCGTTAATGGTCAGGCACCATCCTATATGAAAGAACTCCTTACACCATACTGTCCCACTAGAACACTGCGCTCCCAAAATGCAGGGCTACTTGTAGTGCCTAGGGTCTCTAGATGTAGAATGGGAGTCAGAGCCTTTAGCCATCAGGCACCTCGGCTGTGGAATCAGACCCCTATCAGGGTTCGGGAAGCAACTAACATTTCCATATTTAAAAGTAGGCTTTAACTGTTCTCTTTAGTTAGGGATGTTTTTTCTATATTAGGGTATTTTATGAATTTTTATAAATTTTAATTGTCTATTTCATTTATTGTATTTATTATTAGTTTTATAATTGTGTGTTTTATTGTTGTTGTTTAATGTGTGTTTCTTATGTGTTGTTAGCCTTTTTTTTATCCAATTCTGCAAACTTTATGTCTCTGTTTTCTGTAAAGTGTACTGGGACCACACAGCTGGTTAATTTACACTTTAAATAAATTTGATTTGATTTGACTTCGAATACTAAAATCATCTCATTTAAAGCAGGTGGGGGTATGACTCCTGGGTGTGTGATATAGGAAACTGTGATCTACTGACCTTTTTGATGAATTTTATGTAGGAGTACATCTCTGAGGTAAAGTTGTATCCTTCTGTCAGCAGGGTGAGGATGTATGTGCCAGAGAAACAGTACTCAGCCAGATACGTCAATTTTGCATCCGGATGCTGCTGTTTTATCTGTTCAAGTAGTTCAAATGCAATGATATCATCAATGTACAGCATAGGCAGGCTGGAGGACATAGGACATGTGTGTTTGTGTGTAACAAATATGCCCCTACCTGATTCCAAGGGGTAGCGCAGTAGCGTGTTAGCGTTTCCTTGACTTTTTCCAGAGATATGGATGTATCAGTCAGATTGAGGAAGTTCATCACAAAATAGTAAGCAGAGAAGGCCTGCAGTGAGAGGGAGAGGGCGATAGGAAGAGATGAGGCAAAAGGAAATTAGTTAGAAAAACATTTCCTGGTAAGCAAGTTATTAAATACTTAGTTCTCATTATGTGTGGCCTTATGTCTCACATACACTACAACTGATAAGTCTGTATGTTGTGTAACTCCCGTGTATTGTTGAACCCTGAAAACAACACAGTGTCTCATGGGCCATTTTTATTTGCTAATAAATAAACACTGACAGCTGTGTTACATTACCCCAAATGGCCCCTTCAAAAGAGGCTGGAAGACCCCATTGAAAGAACATTGGCTGTATTTGCAGTGAGTGAAGTCGAAGACACTTTTGACGACTTCCTGGCATTGTTGGAATTTTCCATTCCCTGTGTGATTGAAGGTTGCAGGAGCGTTCTGGGGTTTCCTGTCTGACACACAGGGGCTATCATAGAGAACTGAGTAGTTCTTTGTTGCAGTGTAGCCAGGGTGGAAACAAGGATCTAATATTGTTTCTGGACCTGACTGGGAGAGAGAGCAAGATGGAGAGGTGTAAGAGAGACAGAGACAGGAAGCTAATTAAATTCAAAGTCAGCATCATTGGACATTTCAGCACTTCATGTCTGTCTCAAAGATTATTAAGTCTCAAATTGCCTCAGACTAGATTGGATTCAAACAGTCCATTAATGTTAACAGTAAAAAAAAAAAACAGTAGTTTACCCAAGTCTGATGTGCAAGCGTCATACGCAGTGCTTGGTCTTTCCCATAACACAGGAAGCTGTGAGTGTACAGGTTATAGTCGTTTCCGTAGAGTCGAAAGTTCACAGAGTTGTTAGGTGACTCTGAACCGTCATAATTATTTGATACAAAGCTAATCTGAGTGGAGGCCCCGCCAAGGTCGAGGGCACCTGTGGTTTCCAAGCCCTGCAGCAGAGAGAGGAGGCGCTAAAGTCAGTGTACAGCTTGAGCACACTGACAAACTTCATTGCTGTTGAATTGCAAAATAAATTACATGTTATATGAACTTGTTAGGGTTATATGCATTGCGCCCCCGTACCTTCTTGAGATATATATTTGTAATCAAACATAATCTAGCTGTAAAGGGACTATTGTGTCTGTCATTCCTGTTATTAGCCTGCGGAGTTACAGATTATGGGCTCTAGACTAGGCTATGCATTGAGGGTATAATGAGTCAATACATTCAGTGGAGATGTAGGCTACTTGCCCTCTAACATGCAAAGGAATCACAGAGGGGTTTGCGTTTTTGGTTATGCAAAAGTACTCAATCTAGTTTCTCAATAAGTACCGCTGTAATGTAACAAGTTACTCTTTAATGGCAGTAATCTTGTAATGTAACGCACAGTAAGCACATCTAAAAGTGGACAAACTTGCATGGACATGTATGCATGACAGACACATGCAGACCTGTTTGAGGCGGTCATCCAAGTAGTTGACTGTGACCCAGCCGAAGGCGCCCTCCTCTTGGCCACTAAGTAGTCTCGCTCCCTGAAAGGAGAAGGGGCACCTCTTCAGGGCTTCCTCCACAGCTTGGAACACCTTGCCCGACGCTTCGCTGTTCTCCATACTGCATGCACACACAACATAAATTCATCAGAGTGATTCACATCCATTATTCAAATCAATACAGCAGTCCGTAAATAATAAATATACTGTGTCGTATATAATGGATTTGACAGTAACGTATTTGCTGCACTGGCAGAAAAGTTCATGTGGAGATAAATCACAAAACGGCAGACGGAGAAGGCTACACATAGCAGCACTTCAGCTGCCAGTGCAAACACAATTACAGAGTTAAGGCAGTCACACCAGTATCAGCATGAAAAGGCACGCTTTGTTACTTTTTTTGTGAATCTATGTTTTTATGTTTGATTATGGGGTTGTGTTCCGTACTTCAGCAGTCTCATTCCTGCAGTAGCCCCCAGATAAAGAGGGGTCTCTTGGTGTCTTTTTCTAGGGACCCACTGCTCGGCCTCATGCATGCATGCTGTCAGAGACTCCCCTGCCTTCTCAGGAGTGGATGCATAGCTGGAGATACCTGGACCTGCAAGTTGAGCAAAATGTCAAGAGGAGGTTGAGTTAATTCAGCCTAAATTTAGTGACCATAAAGAGCCTTGCGGTCAGAGATGCCTGCTCGGAAATTGAAGGTCATATGTACAAATTCATAAACTGTTAAGGAAATTTGCAATATAGAAGAAGGCTTGGTGAAGTGTGCCTGATGTACCTTCCATTAAATATTCAACTTGCTATATTTGAGTTTCCCAGTGGGCAAAATGACATCCAGGGTTATCCCTGATTAGATATCCTGCATGAACGTGCACATCCTCTCTACTTGAGAGTAGGTCCAGGTGCCAAACAGGGCGAGTTAAGAAAATAATGGTGTCAAAAGTTGAATTAGAAACATTTTGGAAAGGTTGGATTGCATTAAGGCCCACACAAGGAGGAACGTAAGAAAGGTATTGTATATGGAGCTTGATCAGTTGCTCCCTGGGATCAGCTCAGATTCACATCTACTATGCACTTGGATTGTTAATAAAATTCACATTGGATTTTAATCTTGAGGAATACAGTGTTTCATTAAGTGTAATTTAACAGTATGTGTGAGGACAGTCACCCTCCCCCAGGGCTTATTTTGTTTTATCCGGCATGTCCTTTGTCACTATCCAAATCTGCGAAGTCCATATATAGGCCTACCAGTAAGTGCACTGTGGAGTTTTTTGTTTTCTCAAAAATGTCTTCAACTTTAATCTCAGAAATGTTTTGTGTTTTCTCTGAATATTATCCCCCTCCCCCGGCTCATATATTTTATCTAACGGCCCTACGACGCCATCAAAGATAAAACATTGCAGTTTTATGCAGTGCTTCTTAGAGAACCATGTTGATCCTTTTGTCTCTGATAATCTGCTGTGTTTTACTTTAATTTTGATAACTCATGTAAATTACATGAACAGGAAGGCCAGCACACACACCAGCTGATACTGCTATGATAAAAAGCAGTAGTTAAATCAACTTACAGAAGAGAAGCTAATGGCAGGAGTCAGTTTGACAGACTTCTCTCTGTCTATCTATGTTTATTTAAAAGTGCTTTAATAATCCAGCAAGAACAATTGCATAAGAGACAGACACATTTGTATTTTCATACATTCTCTTGCAGAGGGTTGGATGAGCAGGTGGCTGCTTTTCTTTGTTTTATATCATTGTAATTAATCAGTTTTGGATTGGTTGGTCAGACTTAACATAGACATTTGAAGATCAAGGTTTTAGGAAATTGTGATGGGCATTTTTCACCTTTTGCATTTTAAAGACCAAGGAATCAGTTAGTAAATCCAGAAAATTTGAACTGTTCATAAAAAATGGTTTCCTGATTAAAGGGATAGTTCAGGATTTTTGAAGTGGGGCTGTATGAGAAACAGAGAGTTGTACCAGCACAGATGCTCAATTTAGAATATTATTTTCAGCTCTTTACTTCGTCATCAGACAGACCCTTTCCTTTGGAAATACATTTTCTCAACCGTAGAACTTCAAAATCTTTGCTGGGACTTTTTGATGATGTGGCTGGTGTTGATACTCCAGAGTGTTACTGATGTAGGCCCTGAAGAATTTAAAGGAGTCTGTCAGGGTTATGGGTGATATTCATGCCTTCAGGCCTTGATGTTTGTCCTCCTATTATAAAGTATATTTTATTAGATAAGATAAAGTTCATTGTTGTTCATTGTTCAATTTGCATATTTATCAGTTAGTGGTTGTACATGTGAATGTGAGGGTTAAGTGTGTGTATGTGATGCATTGTGCAGTAGACTGCATACCTTTGACTTTGCACGAATGTATCTGTTCAACTCTTCCTGTGTTGTTATCCTTCTCTGCTGGCCACTCATAGATATAGAGAGCTGTGTGGGAGGAACCGGCATCCAGCACAATCCCATACTGGAGTAGAGACAGAAGGAGGAATTCCTGTTCAGTGCTCAGTGAGATTAACTCTGGATGAGTTCCATCTAGATATACCTTTTAAACATTCGTTGTGATGAGTGCATAGCCCTCAGACAAACTTCCCTGAACAAACGGCAGTATATTTATCTGTGCAAAAATCTTGTGCTGAAAATTATTTGTAAAACCGCACCCCAGGTGCTGTAATGAATAATTCCTGTAAAACTCAATCTGGGGTTTTTTGACAAAAAGGAGTGGTGATTTTAATATTCTTATCATCCACTGGCCTTATTTGGTAGTGGATTTCTACAACCAGCTGTACAGGTTGACATCATATTTACAAGAGAGCATATTTGGCTTGTGGACATTGGACAGATATCCTACTGTATTGCAGTGGGCTCACACACAGGGAACAGGCTACAACATTTTAGTATTTTCCTCTGCCATACCTTGTACTTTTGGGGGAGGGGCCTGTTCTGCAAAACTGCTACCGTCACCAAGGCAACAATCGCTATGACGCCAATCACAGTGATGATGATGGTCACAGGCATGTGCCAGGGGTTCTTCTCTTTCATCTCTGGGAGCGGGGGCAGGACAGCCAGACAGACAGGAAAGAGAAGCGAGAGGGTTGCCGGGGTAGAAAGGGGAAGATGTGGACACATTGGAAAGAGGAAGGGAGTGTGTTAGTGTCTTGCTTCCAGATGTGAGTGATCTCACAGTATGTGTGTTTGTATGTACGAGAGAGAGTCTCCTCCGGGGTTGTTGGAGAGTATTTAATTGTGTTGTTTTGTAACCAAGGACTACAGATGGATTACTGATTTGGTGTGTCTGAACTCACGCCAGGCTGGTAATTGATTCAAGGCGGCTATTATTTAAGCCAGTGGTTCTCAAAGTGGGGTCTGGGGATCCCCAGCAAAAAGGGGCATACTTTTTTTTTTTTTTTTTTGTTATAATTACATCCATAAGTAGCACAGTGAAAGAATGTCTGACTATTTTGGTCATGGTTTTCATATACTTTCTGTAATAAAACATGTAAAAGCAAAAATCCTATCAGATGGGGGACCCTGGGACAAAATCTTATCAAATGGGGGTCCTTGTGGTAATTAGTAAATTAGTTTAGGGGTCCCCGATGTGAAAAAGTTTGAGAACCACTGATTTAAGCCACAGCATGTTTGAAAGGGTATTCCACCGAAGTACTTAGCTAATGCTGAAAGATCAACAAGATTGCTCCTTTGGAAGATGATTAAAAGAAAACACTTCAGACAGTCATTAATGTGGCTGAAGTGCTTTTACAAAACATTGGCTTCAATCAGAAAGATAACTTGTCTATTACAGTAATGTTATTATGAATAAAGCTATAGCAATGAGTCAGTGTTAGCTGACAGTCATTAATTACAAGTATTATTTTAATCTTGGGAAAAAATAAATATAGGGTCGCTGTGTCTGCTGTTGCTTTGTTTGGTTCCCATTCCTTCCTAAGTACTCATTGATTTTCCGCTGTTTTCTAATGGGATTTGATGCATGCGGGCACACAGATGCTATTGTAGATAATATGCATTTACTATAGTTTATACAGGGACAATAATAGAGTATACAGTGCCTGCTCTGTATTCACAAGGTGATAGCACAGAGTGATGAACAAGATTCCAGCCTGAATTTTTAAGTACACGCACTTGCAGGCACACATCAGACACACATAAGGTTGTTTGATTATTAGCAGGGTAAGTAAACTGACCGGCACTATCTAGGCTGCACATGACAGCTGGCATACACACATAAACATTGTAGAAACTGACCCGACTGTAAAGTACAGTTCATATTTCATGAGGACATAGAAAGACACACAGCTGCTTTTGTGCGACTCTTCATCAGCAGGACCTGCAGCAGTGATAATAGTAAACTAGACCTTTGTCTACTGTGGGAAAACACACAAAGACTGAAACTTACTGCACATCAAAGCATTGAGCCAATGGTGAACAGAGAGAGCGGAAGAGAGTACTTACCTCTGTTGTCTACTTCAATGAACTTACCAATGACGAGGGGGGAGGGGGAGAGACAGAGAGAGAGAGTGAGAGAGAGAGAGAGGGGAGAGAAAAAGGAAGTGGATAGGAGAGGAAAATATGGGGAGGACAGGAAGAGGAGAAATGGACAGGGGGAGGTAGCAGGGTGATAAGATGAAGAGAGGTTTTTCCGTCGTGGCCAGACAGAGGATTAGAATAGAGCTGTGTGTGTGTGTGTTTTTTTCCCCTGGTGGAGCTGCTCTGAAGCACTGAGTTTGGCATTTCCTCCCCAAGCCGGGGCAGCATAGCCGGTCACTATGGAGACACAGCTAAAGTGTGTTTGTGCGTGTGTTAGTGAGCATGTGAACCCCTTAAAAGGGACTCTCTCTTGCTCCACCCCCCAACCCCCCTCTGTGAACTAATGAGTTACTCACCATAGCATATATCTCTCTCTCTCTCTCTCTCTCTCTCTCTCTCTCTCTCTCTCTCTCTCTCTCTCTCTCTCTCTCTCTCTCTCTCTCTCTCTCTCTCTCTCTCGTTCTCTAGTTCTCTCTCTGTATTCTGTGGGATGTGTAGAAGTGAGGGGAAGTGGGGACTCCCTTGTTTAGTTGATTTTTATTACTGGCAGGCTGTGATGTCATCTCCGTGACAGATTGGAATCCCCTGCTTTTCTCTAAGGCTGTGTGTGCGTCTGTATGAATGGGGGTTGCTGTTTGGGTCTGTGTATGTGTGTGTGTTTGCAGACCCAAAACACCGACTTGCATGCAAATGTGTTGACCCATTCTGTTAATTCCTTTTCTTGCCACAAAAATGCAGATACATGAACACACATATTTAAACATGCACAAGAGTCAACATTATATAGATATCACTTATCACTCCCTAACCTTCCTCCCTGGTGAGGGCTGTGTGACTCAAAGCCTCCCACACTGAGGAAACAAAACACACACACACACACACAGCCATCACAAAGTATCCTGTAATTGTTTGACTAGGGCAGTTTGAAGCAAACAGCCAAAGTTCATGCCTATTTTTATTCTTTTAAAGCATGACCTCCAGAGCTGTCTAAACTCGATAAAGTCTTATACTAGTTTACACTAATTTATTTATTTACTGTGAATTCTGTAAATGAGCATAGTTTTTGTCACCCAGCTAAAATCTGTGATGTCACCATTAGGTTTCTGAATGTCCTTTATGGATTTTGGTTTACAGCTTGTCTTCAACTTTGTTACCACTTGATGGACAACAGTTACGTGAAAAGGGCAAAAGTTGTCACACTTGCAATAAAGATAATCTAGGTGTTTTAGTTACTGTGTAGGTGGGATGCAGTGTGTTATCTGAAATGATGAAGCTTCTACACTTCTACACAACAAACTTCCTGCAGGAAAAACTGTCAACATACTTTGCACATGTTTTGAAAGGTTTCAGACCAATTTAAATGCTCAAGTTTGGAGTAAAACTAAAAAAGTTCCATTCACTGAATGAAAACTGTGAAATGTGGTTAAAAGGTTTGATGTAGCCATAGACTGTATATAAGAGGATGTATGCATATGGCAGCATGAAAGCTTCTTCCTCGTCTATCTCCGCCGACAGAGATTAGCAGGCAGGCGAGAACGCGAACATGTGAGTGTCGCGTAGTGCCCAGAGAACCTGATATGGAGAGGGCAGAGAACAGTAGCGGCAGCTTGTGAGAAGTGCCGGTATGCGAGAAAAAGTCCCGGTATGCCAAAGACTAAAATGTAATACTGCGTACCGATGAGTACCGGTCCACTTCAAGCACTGCACACAGGTGATCCAGTTTGAAGACCCTGCTGGCTCTCTAGCTGTAATGTCCAAAGAGATACCAGTTGTCCTTTCATACATACAGCACACAACAGGATTTTGTTGTCAGCCTAGTGGAAATACTCTGGTTAAAGCGAGGGGTGTAGAGTCATCTCTCCCTTTAGCACTCGTTTCGTAGGGCAGCGTAAGGCGCAGTAAGGCGCAGTAAAACCAACACAGACAGCTGGTTTATAAATCTGTGGATGGGAGGAGAGGTGACTGCTGGAATTCAAAGGCACCAGATTTTTTTTGTTGTTGCATGTTCCAATAACGAGCTCGGACTGTTACTTACTGTAACACGGAAGTTAAGCGACTGAAGTGGCGGAAAACAGACTCGGAGTCGTGGCAAAGTAAACGGCGACAGTCCGGTACAGTCCCCTCCAAAAGTATTGGAACGGTAAGGCAATTTCCTCTGTTCTTTTGTTTTTTACTGAAGACATTTGTTAAGATCATTTAAGATCAAAAGATGAGTATGAGACAAGAGTTCAGAATTTCAACTTTTATTTCCTGGTATTCACATCTAGATGTGTTAAACAACTCAGGTCATACCATCCTTTGTTTGAACCCACCCATTTTTCAACTGAGCAAAAGCCAGTGCACCTGTAACACAGACCTTGGATCCCCCTTTGGCTCCCCTCTAAACAAAAAGTCTACAATAATCATAGTAATATATCTTCCTTGCGACCATATGACACTGATGCAAAAGGCGGAACAAATGTGTCTCAACTAGTTGGATCCTTTAGGACGTTACACAGCCACTGTCCGGTGTCGTGCAAAGGTAGTTATCCCCTGGTACAAAGTGTTCCCCCTGCCGCGGGGAAATAACGTTGATCACTGAGTCATCCATGTTACTGTTTGGAAGCTAGATCCAGACAGGCTGTCACCTTTTTCAAGTAAGCTGCTCTTACAAATATCTACGCCATCAATACTGTAAAATCAAAATCACTGTTTTAACGCAATTCTCGCCTCAACGGTAATCTACTTGACTCGAAACGTACATTAAACTGAATGCAGCATTGTAGACAATATTTTGTCCTTGTTATCCATGTTTTCATTGCATGGATAGTTTTTGTATATTGGTAGAAATTGTTCTCAGTCCCCCTTCTTAAAGGGTAAATTATTATCACAACAATTTAATAGTGCATTGCATTTAAACAGCACAATTTCATACACAAAAAGCAATAACAGTTAGCCTACTGGTCCTGCCAGGCTGGACATGCAGTCTGTCAAAATATGTATTCCCATCCATAATGCACAGATGATGGCCTTCTATCAAGTATTAAATTTTGTGTATACTTCACATCATGACTACTAACAGGGGTGAATATTGAGAAGTTTATTTTTCCTAGCAAAAGTTATAGTGGGACACAAAATACAAACTGGGATCCAGAGAGTGGCTTGTACACTAGAGCTTATACTGTTCATTAAGCCTTACAAAGAAGTGTTGCATCAAAGAATTTATTGTAACTTGAGGTAAAGTTCACAGGAATGTTGTTTTGTTGAATAATGTAATTTAATAAAACTATAACTAAGGTACTGAAAAGATCCTGTTGAACATTACCTTTGTCTCTTTTGTCCCGGATTGAATGTGTCCCTCTGACAAAACAACTGGCCCCAGCCCGGCCCCCTCAATAAAATTGGTCTAGAACTGCCACTGGATATTGCAGAGGTGGAAAAAGGCTGACCAGGTGATGGTTTTTATTTGGGTTTTGAAGGACAGGGTGTTATCCAGAGTGACACCAACGCTTTTTACTTTTGAAGACAGAGTGACTGGGAGACCATAAATAGTTAAAATGAGGTTTTGCTGTTTGGAGAGGGTGGATTTAGAGCCGATAAGAATGACCTCAGTCTTGTTGCTGTTGAGTTTGAGGAGGCTCCTGATGTCTTGGAAGGGATTTGATGAGGGAGGGAGGCAGTGGGTTTGGTGGAGAGGTCGAGCTGGGTGTCCTCAGAAAAGCAGTGAAAGTTGATAGTGTGGTAATAAAGATATTAACAAAATATAGGACACAAACAGCTTCTATATTGAGGTAGCAACATTGGTGTCGGCTATCAAAGGCTCATGCAGTGAAGATCTTAATGGAGGTCAAAGCCACCAAGCCCGACTGCATTACTGTCTGAGCTACATCATACAAGGCAAGCATCTTTCTTCAGCGTGATTATGGGATTCATCAAACATTTCCTCGAATGCGTGCAGCCACAATGAAGCAAGAATCAAACCACATGTGATTTCCACATGTTGTTTTACAATGTCTTCGCATGCCTTGATTTATACTGTCGTTAGTTGTTTGACTGGCTCATCTAAAATGTATGTGAACATCTGTGGTATGTCGGCTAGTGAAGTAAACAACCAGCCTTGTCATTTAAGAGTGACTCCATTAATGACAGCTGGCTTCAATTACAACTCCTGCTTTATTGTAGTACAAATCAAAGTCTGTGAGGGAAGTTGCTGTGAAGTTGCCCTAGACTGAACCTCACCCTTCCTTCCAGTTAAATTGACAAGTGTTTAGAAAGAGAGCTCATAAACGAAGTTCTTCTTTAATTTGCTTTCAGAGCAAAGTCGGGAAAGACTGTTAACATTATGTGTAATCATTTACTCATGACGATGCTGTTGGCTGCCAACTAAACAGATACAGACACAGTCACAAATACATGTTGAGGCAGAAAATAGGGCTTACCTGAGTAGCAAATTAAGTGTATGAGATCATAGAGGAACTCTCTTGAAACATCAACACAGACGGAAACACAGGCTTTTAGGCCACACAAACACACAGGTTTGTATGTTTGTACTTGTGAGGAAATGTATGCATTCCCTAATGATCACAACTAAATGCTGTACTACAACCACTATCCCAAACCTAGTCTAATTTTAACCCTGAAATGAAGTCTTAGCCAGCAAGCAGCCATGTAAATAAGCGAGGACCTACCAAATTGCTGTAACTATCCCAATCTGTCTTTAGCACACCCATTTAAGCCTAGACAAGTACACACACAAACACACACAATGTCTTATTCAAAGGCACACAGATTTGCAGAAAAGGAGAGCATGGGGAAATACAAGTGGAAAACATAACATCTGCTATCACTCGGTGAATCTCTCTGGGACATTTTTAAAGGTAAAATGCAAATATTTAAATAAAGCACATGTAGTACATGGTTGAATTAACTTTAACTTGTCAGGAGGCAGGAAGGTAAAAAAGGCAGTGTGGAGGGAGACTTGACATTTAAAATTAACTTCTGTTGCCTGCAGTATAAATGAGGTATTTAGAACTTTTTCACATCAGGGCCTCCTAAACTAACACAAATTACCCCACGGACCCCCATTTGATAAGACTTTTGCTTTTAGATGTTTTATTACAGAAAGTGTAAAACCCATGACCAAAATAGTCAGA